GCCAGCAGGGAGAGAGGACAAACAGAGAGACAGACAGACAGAGATCATGCACGGCAGCCCAGCCCCCTGCTCGACCCAGCTTGCCGGGAGGGTCTGGGGCATCCCTTGTGTGTCCATATTCCATGTCTCAATCCCATACTCTTCATCCCACCATCCCGCATCCCACCTGGAGCCCAGCCAGGCCCCTTACCCTGCTGAGAGGCAGCTTGACGATGTGGGATCTGTTGCTGGAAATTATCCTTGGGAAGAGAAGGAGGAGGAGGAAGAGGAAGAGGAGGAGGAAAAGGAGGAGGAAGGTCAGATAGAGCAGTCTCAAGCTCCCCCGGGAGGAGGGCTGAACCAGGAGACTCACCAGAACCCACCCCGAGGCCGGTGGATGGTTGTGCTCCGCCAGGAGAAAGGAGCCGAGGGGGTCGTGTCAGAGTGCCCGGCTCCCCCCTACCCCATCTCCTGTCCCAGGGGACGTGGGGCAGTGGGAAGGGATGTGGGGCTGCGACACCCTCAGCCTTACCATTGCAGAAGGGGATGGGCCAGGGGATCCAACTTGTCCATCTGCTTCTTGATCTCCAGGTAGGATCCCTGGTAGAAGTAAGAGGGAATGAGGGTGGCTCCCCTGGCACCCACCCACCTGTGGGTGGATGGAGATCACCAAAATACCACCCCCGGTGAAGCATCCTGCACACGGGGCCACGGATGGTGTGGGGCCACGCTCGCACACCTGGGTCATCTCCCGGATGGACATCACACTGTCCAGGGCCTTCTGCAGCCTCTCGTAGTTCTTCTTCTACATGTGGAGCAGGAGGGAGGTGGTCATCAGAACAGCCCTTGGGGTCCCCACAGCCCCACCCCACCCCGGCACTTACCTTGGGGTTGAAGGCAAGTGTTTTGGGGTCGTTGGGATCCACCACAGAAGGATAAGGCTCAAAGATGATGCTCTTGCGAGGGGACTCCAGGGCGGCACGGCACATGGCCACCAGTAGGTCCACCACCTTGGGGACAGAGCATGGGGTGAAGGGATGATGCCCCAAAGCAACAGCATGGCCACCCTCCATGCACATCCCTACCTCAGCACCCGTGGCCACCTCCTCTGCGGC